AGGGTTTGGCGGGATTAGGGTTTAGGGCATCCCGCCCTCTTTTGGCGAGGCCAACCGCAAGAGGTCGCATTTGGCAGACTGGCCACCGACTTCACAGCACTGGAACGGCTGAACATGCAGACACATTCTTGGGCTCTATAATACCGGCTTTCCTGTTTTTACTTGCGTAGAGACCCTAAACCCTGAACCCTAAACTGCGGCACAGCTGAGGCCTCACCGAACGCTTTTGTGGAAGAGCCGCATCACTTCCTTGCGCTCGGGCCTGAAATTTTCTCACCCAAGTAGGCCTCAAACGAAAAGCGGTGATATGTCATGTTATACTATATTTTACTGTAGTATTTTTATCATGCACTAGAAACACTAGAATATACCATAATGAATATAAGAATATGTACTAGGATATACTGTGGCATAATTACTAGAATATGCGAGCTATAGTATAGCTTTGCCAGGCTGGTCGATTCCCGGGGAGCGGTTCTCCACCTGTTCGGCGGCAGCGGGCTGTGAAGACACCCCTGTGTTTCACAAGCGTGTGCTGCTGGGCGTGATTCCGGTCGGGTCCTTACCTGTTTACCTGTAGTCTCCGTTGTAGTTCCTTTTTTTGGTTAGCCGGTTTTGTACTCAGGATCCTAAAAGGTATCCCCCAAAAGGAACTACAATGGAGACTATACGTACGGTTTAGCGTAATTCGTGATTCCCGCCCGGTTCTTCCACTTTGATCCGCAGCTTAGCTTGTGACTGTCCTTTCACGCAAGGTGGGCGGCAACGAGTTCAGCGATTCCAACGTCGTAAGCAGTGCCCATCTTAATTCTCTTCTTTGATGCATTTGCAACGCGAAGTAGTGCCTTGACATGTCTTGAAAGTTCTGCGTGACGCCAGGCTCTTTTCGCGAGAAGTTGCCACTCCTGGAGAAATCCCTGGAGCGCCTGATTGTCCGTTGATGATGACTCTGATACTGAGCTAATCACGAAGCCTTTAACCCTAAGCCTCAAACCCCGAACCCTCCTGAAGTTTGAAAAGCAATCCAATTTCAAACTTCAGGGGTCTCACAGGTTGAAAGTAACATTAAACAGAAATAGTCCATAAACCCTGAACACGCTACTTTAGACCCTAAACCACGATTTTTTGGAGGATGGTCTTCTCGTTGAGATCCCGTCGACGACGCGCACTTTCCAGCACGCCTTTGAAGGAATGGAGGCTGGCTATGCAAGAAAAAGCTTGAACAACACTAAGCAGTTTCAAACATTAACACTTGGAGTTCCTGTGTATAATTGCTACTATAATCACTCAGAAGCCAGGTCTAGATGTTGCCAGTCCATCAGCCGCCGTGAAAGCTTCATCCAGGTGCTGCTGTGCGGTGAGAACTGTGTTCAGGGGCTCTTCAATGTTCCGGAGCCTCGTGGCGGCAAGTCGTTTAGCATTTAGGGGTTGGCTTTCGGGGTTGAGTGTGCAAGGACTTCACGGCTTGAGCTTACAGGCGCACATGCAAGAATGAGGCATGTCCCCCGGCTGCTTGTGCAAGACCCGTCGCAGCCTCATCGAAAGCCGGTAGGGTTGACTGGCCTTTCATTCAATCTCAAGCGATTGACAAGTAAGGTCGATCGACATGAGGGCATACTGCCCGCCAGTAATTCTTTCGCAAGAATCTTAGTGCAGCAAGACGGGTCTCACTGCCATCCGCAAGAAACTTGGCAGGGTCTTGCTTAGCCGTGCAGCTTCATGCAGGCCGCCTGCGATGGACTCACGAAGATAGAGGAGCTGAGACGATGAACATAATTGTAAAAATAAAATAACATACATACATATAGAGAGAGTGAAGTGTGAGTGCAGTAAACTTGTTCTCACCTCGGGTCATTATACATACGTGGAGCTCAACAGGTATGCGCCTTCCGGTGACAGCTTCTACCCTGTCGAGCTGAATGGTTCCGTCACCGCCTGAGCCTTCACACACAAGTGCAAACTCCAATGCAAGATATCCAAAACCCTAAGCCCTAAAGTCCTCAACTCTCAACCCCTCGACCTCGGGTGCTTCAGGAATGCCAATCTCTTGAGAAAGGATCGTCTCGTACCCCCAAGCAGCAAGAAGCTGCAGCACCGTTTAAGATCATAATTAAGAAGAAACCCAGGGCAGTAATCTTAATCCAGAGGAACACAAGTACAACTGTGGGGCACTTCAAGAACCGAGGCCGGCCGATGGGCAAGGACCTCCTAGGCCCAGGAAGTGTAAAGGACCCGCAAACGGGACATCAAACAAGCTGTGGAGACAGTATCAAGACTGTTCAGCAAGGTGACACAAGATGCTATTTACGAGGGCATCAAAAGACGACGTTGTTTGAAGTTGAAGTTGGACCCAAACCCGAGAGGGCATTCTACCTGCTTTTGCATGGGGCTCATCTACAGAATGACTTGAGCCGGCTTGCCTGGAGCTGACCAGGTGTACGACTCCTTCGCCTTGCGCGTGGTCTTTGAGAGGGATAAGACAGGCTTTGAAGAAAGCAAGGACGGCCGCCAGGTGCCACGCACAACTGGGATTATGTGACGTGTCATGCCAGGAGTTCCCCATCCGAACGAACATGGTGGTGGCGGCAAGGCGCCGCTTCACTGCCGTGGAATGTGCGGAAATTGTGCTTTCTTGGGTGCTTCAGGTACCAGATCATTGAGTACCTGGGATCTGCTGCATTTTCACGTGCAGTGCGCCCCGGCAGTTTTCCTGCAAGCAACCCACAGCACTCGTATGCAGCTCAAGGGCCAGTAATTTAGCCGCCCGCGCGAGAGCCCCGAAGTCAAGCATGCCTGTCCGCAGCCTTAAGTTTGAACTGCAGCCAGACGCTTCCTTGTCGGAGTTTGCCCACCTCCCGAACCGTAAAGAGAAGACAGTTGGCAGGAATGTTAGGGCCCCAAAGAAGCACAATGAAGCACAATAGCAATACTTGAGATCGGGAGAACCATAGAAACCGCCATAAGGGATATCCCTGTAAAATGCTTGTGCTCGCATCAGGGGGAAGGTACCGGGCCCGTCAAAGTTGAACCAACGAGTCGAAGACAAAAGAGCCTCGGGGGGGAGAATACCATCATTGCAGGATCCCACATGGAACCTGACCACGACGTCCCGGGCCTCCGGCCTTGGCAGCTGCAGTCCCGAGACATTCTGCATCTGCCGGAGCAGAGTGTCGTGGACAGTTCTTTCAACCTTCCACTGCAGAGGACGTTGAGGCGCCTCTCGCAAAGGTTGATGCACCCATAGATGAGGTGCAGAAGCTGACCAAGGGTGGAGAGGAAGAGCCGCCACAAGCAGGCCATGAAGCGAGACTACCGCAAGAGCTCATGCCGATTTATAGATCAATGACTTGCCGACGCCGCCACGCTGGAAGGCATCGTAGATTATGACAGCCTGCTGCCGACTGTCCTGTCGGATGCAGATTACTGCATTGGACAAGGCAGTTGGCAGCCAGCTTTGCATGGGGAGGCCCATGTGCCTGAGCCGGCTATCATGGCATGTAGATACCGGAATGAATCGCTGGATTATGGGCTTGCTTCAGCAGTGTCTGCGGCAAAAGAAGAGAGTAGCCCTCACGAATCCCAAATCATCCGACGAAAATCTGTCCGGTACTTGTAGGTCCAGTGCTTAGACTTGGACACGAACAAGATGGTCTGCATGAAAATTATCAAGAATGACAAGGCCCGCCGGTTACTTCCGCCAAAACCGTTTCAAAAAGGGGAACCCTAAACCCTAAACCCTAATGGGACCAGCACCCTGGTGAGGACTTCTTCGACCAATCCTTGGATGAGATCAAGCTGCTGAAGTACATCAATGTAAACGGCGATGTCGACTACAACAACGTCCTGCGCAGGGCAGCCCAGATGGGGATATAGTTGCAGAAGAATCCACCTTCTTGTTGGGAAGAGTGAGCGGATAATTTTACAATGCCAAGGCCTCTACGATCACTTCTACCACAAGGACAGCTCCTGTTTTCCGGAGACCTGCCGACTTGGACAGCACCGAGAAAGCTTCACAATGATACACCCGAGTGAATGTCAAAGCCATGTTGGGGAGCCCTATATAATTCTGCTCTTGATGCGGCGCATAGTTTGGGAACCCAAACGGGCCCGCAGGTTTTGTCAACCACCGAAAAGAAGCCTAAGCCCTAGCAGGAGCACTTGATCATCGTGACCGAGCTTCTCCGCGACAACTTGTACGAGTTCAGCAAGTTCAATCGGGAGTGCGGCCACTGCCTCAAGCTGCTAAGAGATGCAGAGGGATTCGTGGAGACATACCTGGCTGTTTCGATTTCGAAGGAGATGAGCCGTACTTTACCATCGGACGGCTGCAAAAGATCTCTCGACAGGACGCGCGCTTGGATGCTTCCGAAGCTTGGCAGGCATCTGAAAGCTCTGAGTCCTCGTTTTCAGATCTTGACTGCCTTGGACTACGTGCACTCCCTGCGGCTCATACACTGTGACTTGAAGCCAGCATACGCCTCAGCTGCTCCTCCATCTGATGCTCTCGAACACCAGCTGTCACTTGCCCTGACCAGGAGAACATCCTCATCAAGTCGTACAGCCGATGTGAAGTCAAGGCGCCGGCATCTGCAAAAGTCTTGAGTGTATTCTGGATGTCTTCTGGTGAGGTCGTAGGCTTTGATCAGAGTCAAACACTGCGGAGCCGTCTAGCTAAACATGCTCTCAAATTCAAGCCTTGTCTTGTCAACTGCTACAGTCCTGGGCATCTTGTATGATGAGCTTGCCTCATACTGCCCTACAGAGAGGCCGAGCGACTTCAGATGGATTCCAGTCAACTCCCGGGCAGGTCATTGACTTCGGCTCCTCGTGCTTCATCGATGACCATCTGTCTTCCTACGTGCAGTCTCGGTCATACCGAGCCCCCGAGGCCCAAACGGGCAACCATGGGCAGCTGGAGTAGCCTCCCGAAGGTCAAATATTATATTATATTGTATTGTATTATATTGTAATATATGAAAACTTTTATATTATAAGTTTACACCATGTTCACAGGCTAAACTCGGAAGGGTGCAGTGGCTAAACACGACACAAAATCGGAAGAGGGGCGTTTTTCTTGAGCCACCGACAAGATGAAGCCCTCATGCCGCTTGCAGGTGATGCTGGGTCTCCCCTACGATCAGAAGATTGACCTGTGGTCCCTGGGCTGCATCCTCGCTGAGCTCTGGACAGGCCGGCCCGAGTCAGAATGGAAACTAAAGTTGCAGCCGTTTAGACCCTTTCGGAGGATTTAGGGTTTTTGTATGTGGTTGTAGTCGCCGAAATATTAAAGCCCGCTCCCTTCTTTGTCGGAGGCTATGTCTTGTTCCAGAATGACTCGGCATGGCACTCACCAGTGTTACATCTTCAAGTCACTGCTAGTATTATCAAATTATGTTATGTTATATCTCTAGTGCATCAAGAATTTGGGGGCTGAGGTGCAGAGTCTGCTGGCTCGAATTCTGGGCATCATCGGCGAGTTTCCGCTTACGCCTCACCTTTCCTTTTGCACTTTGCAGTCCCCTTTACAAGGGAGCCAATTCCTGATGGAGAGGTATCACATGATGACCAGCGGAAAGTACGTTCCACAGTACTTCACACAGGACACAGCCTGACCCAACTTCCCTTTGTTGAGCTGGATTTGTAGGGCGCGCCGCGAATAAAGAGCTTGGCCAGGATGGACAGCTCTACCAAGAAATTGAGGGAGCACCGTGTCCAGAAAGAGGACGCCGACTGCATCTTTTGGCGCCGCGACTGGAGGTCTTATGGGAGTTTCCGATAACAAGGGGTACCTTGTTCTGGGGTCCTTATAATAAGGATCCTACCATTAAGGGTGCTGTATTGGGGTCCCCTATTTTCGGAAACCCCCTTATCGACTGAGTTTTTTCCGGCTGGCTTGTCGGCTTAGGTGCCAAAGAAGACGTCCCTTCGACAGAGGATGCGTCTGGATCTCATGAAGATGCCTTGCGTGTACCTGTGAAAGCTTTAGTCATATCCAGACGCAAGACATGCACTGAGCATACTGAGCCTATCCTGAACTCTGCGTGTGAGCCAGTGTGAGCCACAGCCACTGAGGCACCAACGACGAGCTGCTGCTGGATTTCCTTGAGAAGCTGCTGCAGTGCCTTGCCTCGAAGTCCAGAGCCTGCTTGCAGCCCAGTACTGGGGCCTGAAACTATGTCACTATCTCCCCCTAGATTCCCCAAACCAGAAAACCAGAACCCTACTCTAACTGCGTGCTGAGGTTTTCGGGTGTAGGACGCCGGACGGCTGTTGCAAGAGCAGGGCGTGATGTCTGTTTTTTTTTGCGGCGAGGCTCGATCCTGCTCAGAGACCAACTGCTGCTGAGGCACATCATTTCATCGTGTGTGTTTCACTATATTGTATTCATGTTACCTTTTTCATTTATCATTGAATTGCGAAAATATCTACAGGCGTAGAAGTATGCAAGTATGCATTTGTACTCATATTGCTTTGTTACTTATTAACAGGACTTGCTACTAGATCAGATCATATTCTATTCTATTCAATTCTACTCTACTCTAATCTGCCAGTCTGCAGCAGCCTCAATATCAATCCTGCTCGTTGCTGTCCGCATCGAAGGCCATGGAGCATCCCTTCCTTGCGCCGGGCAGGCGCGCTCCAGAGAGCCCTCAGCGTTGCTTCTGTTGCACCTTACATCGCATCCTCAGCATCGCAAGATCCCAGCACTCCGACACGCATTGCTTGCCGCCTGTGCCGAGATATCCAGATGGCCTGTGAGGGCATCCCGGAGCAAGGCTATGACTCCTCCTGGCATCAGCGGGCAAAGTCCTGCGAGACCTCCCGAGCTGTGTGTTAATTATGGCAAGCTCGACAATGCTTATACGCGTATGCCTGAAACGACTGGGCAGGGTGCGTCCGCTTGCTTGGAATTAAAAGGTTCTATCCAGAAAGCTTCTCTGGATGCTTCTGTCGGAACAGAGTCTCCCCTAAACCCTAAGCCCTGAACCCTCTCTTTCTCTGAAGACTCCCTACACCCTAAACCCTAATCTGCCGCTGCCCGCAGAATCCCGGACTTCACGGAGGATGCGGAGATGCTCTCATGGGTCTCCTCCCCGGTGGTGCCCTAAACCCTACCTTAAGCTACCATAACCTACTTTTTTGTAGTTCTTATTATAAACCCTAATATGGAATTTATAGGGACCCTACAAAATAGTAGGTTTTGGTAGGTTAAGGTAGGCCCTAAAGCCCCACACCCCTGTGAATCCTGGACTCGAGGACCCCGAAACCCCCAAAACCCCCAACAAACCCAAACCCTAAAACCTCTCGTATAGACAGTAACTCCTACCTGTAGTCTCCATTGTAGTTCCCTTTTCGGTTCAACCAGTTTTGTACTGAGGATCCTAAAAGCTAGCCCCAAAAAGGAACTACAATGGAGACTATAGGTAAGCTCTATAACCCTGAACCCCAGAACCCTAAACCTAAGCGGCCCGACGTGGGGCTCTGGGCCTCAATGCGACCTCCCGGCTCTGAGGCTGGAGTTGGTCTTGGCGAAGCAGAGTCCTACAAGGCCGATATAACAAACCAAGGGCTTAGCTTGCGGTTTTGGGTTTAGGGTTTAGCTTAGCGTGGGGTTTAGAGGGGTTTAGGGTGGTTTAGGGTTGAGGGTTGAGGGTGGTTTAGAGGGGTTTAGGGTTGACAGTTTAGAGTGGTTTAGGGTGTAGGTTGTAGTGGGGTTTAAGGTTTAAGGTTCAGAGGGGTTTAGGGCTCCGGGTTCAGAGGGGTTTTAGGGTTTATGAGGGTTTTCCTTTGAGGTGATGTGCTCCATGCGGAACTTGGCGGCGAATCAAAAAGACGGCCTCAACAAGCTCAGATTCTGGGGCAAGGCGGGTGCTTTTCCTGTGATGGCTCTCTGCGCACTTCTCCCCCGATAGATCTTCGGGACGGAAGCTGACTACTACGTGGCAGAGGCCTGCGAGGTTTTGCGGTGTGACATGTCGGCGTGGGCTTTGAAGAGTGCAGGCCCAGAAAGATGGTGGGGAGCCTGACGAAACGGACCCCGATGCAGAACCTCCAGGCTCTGGGAGGGCTCAAACGTACCCCGCAGTCCTGCAACAGGAACGGTGGGGTTGTAACAGTAGGAATGTTTTACGGTAGGAAGGGTGGCTCTTGTGATTCTCATAGATATCGCAGGACAAGGCGCCAACCAGTTCACATACTATGTGACCAACGACTTGGCCGGCGACTGGCGACGTTTGCCGGACATCAAGCCCAAAGAGGCAGCTGGACCAAAGCCGGTTGAGGAAGTCCGAGTTTTGCTTCAAGACTGCTCTAAACCCTAAACCCTAAAAAAACCCTAAACACTAAACTAGACCCTAAACCCTGAACCCTAAACTAAGCCCTAAACCCTAAACCCTAAGCTAAACCCTAAACCCTAAAGCCCTGTCTGAACAGATCATCGCGGCGCGCGCCATCAAGCGGCTGGTGACCGGGAACGCCGGCTCAAAGGACTGCCTCAGCTGTTTTCGTGAGCAAACCCATAGGCCCCTAAGTAGTTCCTTTTTGGGATTACCTTATAGGAATCTAAATATAAAACCAGAAAAAGGAACTACTTAGGGGCCTATGGGTAAGCCCCCAAAGCAGCCCCAATGTGAGCCGTTATCGGCAGGTTATCACGCATCCTGCCTTCGAAGGGGCGGAGGAGGTGCCTGTGCGTACAAGGGAGTTACAAGGTCAGGGTAGTACGACCCCTCATGTAAGGACTCCTGGAAGCAGAATCTTGTAAGTCTGAACCCCACCCTATAGTGTGTCTCTTGCCATAGCGGCGGCCTCCCCAGTAAAGACTTGCCGGGGATGTGCCTCTTCTACGAATATGCGGCTCAACTCGAATCAGACCTACAGCCTGCGAAGAACTCGAATTTGGCATGCAGTTCCCATCGCAGAGATCCATTAGTCACTGTCTAGCTTGATCACCTTTGCCCATGTGTTGTACTTTCGGTGCAACTTTACCATGTCATGACAGCAGGTCTATCTCCGTGCTCAAATCGCCAGAATTACTGCAGACACCGTCATTTGCATGAAGGGCTACTTGAAGAAGGACCGGTGCCAAGCCAAATTGCGGAAACTCACTGGAGGCTGCCTGCGCCAAGTGTACGCAGGAGGAGGAAGAAGGATCTCCAATCGAGCAGAACGAAGAGTTTATCTGCCCACCGGCGGCTGAACTGCTCAAAATGGAGGCATGCACTCTTCCATACACTTGATCTCATGCTCTTTAGAGAGTTGTCAAGTTGTTGCCAGGCATGGACCCATATGCAGTCGCCACGGCCTGCTTTGCAAGAGCCTTTCTCAGCCTGGGTCACGAGAAGACGTGCCTTGCGTGGCAGGCCTCACATTCTCCGCAACGGCCGCACCACCCACAAAGAGATTCCAGAGGGTGACACGCCAGAGGAACTTGAGCTGGCAGCGAAGATGAAGGAGGCACGGCCGTCTTTTCAGGGTTCAGGGAATGTTCCGTCAACACGACTGCAGTCAGCCTGAAGTGCTCTAACTTGGCTCCCGCGATGGTTTCTGACTTTCCGATGGCATGCGACCTTCTAAGGGCCTTAAGGGACCCATATTCCCAACAAGGTGCGCCTCGAAACATAACTTATCATCAAACACAAAATAGTATGCGATAATCTCTATAATGATAGGTGTACCGGGCTCGAGTAGTCAAGGTAAAGCAAAGTCGTGAGTCGAGATTCGAGGCTGGCAGGTACCACCAGCTGTGGATAACAATAATAATTAATAATAATCCTGATGATGATGTTTGTAGTTCTGATAATGCTGGTAAAAATACAACAGCAGTACTGGTAATCAGAATGCTTGTAATATACCTCTAAAAATGACATAAATTGCATGTATAAGGGCTATCGTAGTTAACTGTAAGAGTAGACAGAGGCAGGGTTCCATTGTGCAGGAGCAAGAAGCAGATCCCGAAAAGGAGGCCTTTGCAATGCCTCGTGCTTTCATGATTCTGGCTAACTTGTGTAGGGTTTAGGGGTTTGGGGGTTTAGGGCCTCTGTTTCAGCTTCGCAGGTCCTGCGTGGGCTGCACGCAGACGGGCTGCAGTGGACTATCAAGCAGGCGTGCAGAAATGTTTCCAGAAATCAGCATACTATGGAGCAGTCCAAGAGAGCCAAGATCTGTCAAGGCTGGCGATGCCACAGTCTACCGTGCTTCAGCTGATCCGGCTGCCCCACTGAGGTGCATGCATTCTACCGAGTCTTGTACCCAGCTCCCCATGTGGAGTCTGCCCTAACCCCCAAATCCTAAACCCCTCAACCTCTATACCCGAAACCTCTAAACCCTATGTAACTACCCATAGGCCCCTAAGTAGTTCCTTTTTGTGGCTTATATTTAGAATCCTATAAGGTAATCCCAAAACGGAACTACTTAGGGGCCTATGTAACTAGCCTAAAGACCTGGTAGGTCCAGTGCGGTGACCTACGTCCGCTCCCTCTCCTGGCCCGGTGCGGTGAGCCGCTCAGAGCGCTCTCCGAAGCCTGCAATCACTCCTGGGTTCTTGCTAGGGGGTTTAATTTAAGTTATGATTAATAATAACAATAATAATAGTAATAATAATAATAGTAATTATGGTAATAATAATAAGAATAAGAATAAGAATCAGAATAAGAAGAGTAATAATAAGGAAACCATATTATTTACTATGGACCCTTATTATGGTACAGTACCTTAAGATCCCTTAAGAAGCCAATCCCTCCTTGCCTTGTCGAGGTCACGGCGGTGCGCAACGGCCAGTTCGTGAGCATCTATGTTGGGCAGCTCAGGGTTTAGGGTTTAGGGTTCAGGGTTTAGGGTTTAGGGCAGTGCAGCTGCCATAATGCTGATCATATTGGTACATATAATAGGGCTCCCTGAATAATTATAGCTACCCATAGGCCTCTAAGTAGTTCTTGTTTATGGTTTATATTTAGAATCCTATAAGGTAATCCCAAAAAGGAACTACTTAGGGGCCCATGTATGGGTAGTTATAGACGCATGAAGGCTCCCTGATTATAAACCAAAAACCCTAAACACTAAACCCTAAACCCTAGCTAGTTAAAGACGCATGAACTGTGGAAGGTTGGCTTGAGCACCTGTTAGGTCGGATATGGCCTCGCAGCCAGCAGCCCCAACTTCTTCCCCCCGGCACCTCCAGATGTGCAAGAAGAGCCGGAGGACCAGGATTCAGGGCTTAGGGTTTAGTAATGCAGGGTTTAGCGTTTAGGGTTTAGTAATTTAGGGTTTAGGGTTTAGTAATGTAGGGTTTAGGGTTTGGCAATTTAGGGTTTAGAGGGTTTAGGGCAGATTTGCTTTGTCAGCTGCAAGGGGGAGAGACCTTTGCCTCCTGAGAGGACCCTGGTGAGGTAGAAGAACCTCAGGGCTCCTTGGAAGAGCCAAAGGAGCCAGAGGAGTAGAGTAAATGCCATGACCTCGGAGGTACCTGTAGTCTCCATTGTAGTTCCTTTTTTTGGTTTAACCAGTTTTGTACTAAGGATCCTAAAAGGTAACCCCAAAAAGGAACTACAATGGAGACTATAGGTAAGCCCTAACTGATCCCGACTCAGTTCTTCTGTCCTTACGTGTTTGTCTTGCAGCTTGAAATTAGAGCAGACCC